TAACTTTTCTGTATCGCAAGTTGAATTAGACATATCGATTCAGCAAACCTTTTTGCCAACGCCAAAAGTTAAAAGCTCCAATTTATGCCTGGATCCATCGGCTGGCGCCGATGTTTTGTTCAATATTGTATTCAATTTTGAACAAAATACTCAATCGGCCGGGCGCCGTAGTGAAAATCGGAGCAAATGTGACCAAGGCTAGTAAAGAAATGACCATCTGAATCGGCAACAATATCACAGACCAGTATCAATATAATATCAATATATCATGACCGTTACCATATCATACATTTCCTTTTGTATTTTGATGCTTCTTTGGATATATTCTTTTCAAAAATAAAGTCTTGACTTGTTAAATCAGAAGAAACCACATGTTTCCTGCACTTAAAACTAATTTATCTGAAAGTTTGTATCCATAATATGAATCTTTTTTTGCATATATTATTGCAATGTTGTCCTTTGATTGCTTTTTTATTCAGGTTTGGCCGACCAACACTTTCACAGGTTCGCACTGTAGAGTCCCTCTTTAAGGTTCAGCTGGAAAATAACATTTTGGGAAAAAATTACAACACCTACACCTGGTGCAAAAGTAAGTATGAAGGCATTTGTATTTTATTTCCTTGCTTTTTTCAGGAAAGTATCATTACATTGTCTACTTTAATTTAGTAAACCTGGAAGCAGGTCAATGGTACAGTAGCTTCTATGTTGTGTGGAAACGTTAAAAGAAAATTTGGGAAAATAGAAAGCGTGAAATATCAGAATTTCCTGGAGTTCCCATTGACCTGCTTCCAGATTTACTAAAAGTAGAAAATGTAATGATACTTTCCTGAAAAAAAGGAAGGAAATACACACATGCCTTCATACTTCTTTAGTACCAGAAAATAACATGTTCAGGTATAGCAATTTTCCAAAATGTTATTTTCCAACTGTACCTTAATATCTTGTTATCTTCCACGAGGTAGTAGTATATACTACAGAGATTGTGAAAGCTTTGTAGTCTATCGTAGTTTCCCAGTGTTGATTACCACTCTTTGAGAACCACTGACCATTTACCGTGGTGCTTCAAAAAGTGCCAAATAACACCGAAATTGAAAATGATAATATAAGAAACAATATCTCTATCGGATTTCCATGTGTTATTTGCAGTTTTTAAGTCCAGCCCAAACTGCCTATAAACAGTGTCAACCTTTCATTTATACCACGTAAACAATTCAGAAATCACACACCAGTGAGCACATTCAACCACAACGTACTTGTACCCAGGACCATTTAGAGCAGATCACGCTATGCCTCAAAGGGGCAATACTCTGTCAATAGGATTTTTGTTCAACATCAATAAAGAAAAAACCCCAATGACTCCTAGTTCAAAAGCTCGCCTATTTTCAAAATGGCCGCCATTTATGTCTCGCGAAATTTACTTTTGGACCATTTGCTTTAAAACCTGTGTCGATAGGATTCTCGTTTTAAGTTATTTTTGTTCAACATCGATACAGAAAACTCCCTTATGGCTCCTGGTTCAAAAGCTCGCCTAATTTCAAAATGGCCGCCATTTATGTCTCGCGAAATTTACTTTTGGACCATTTGCTTTAAAACCTGTGTCGATAGGATTCTCGTTTTAAGTTATTTTTGTTCAACATCGATACAGAAAACTCCCTTATGGCTCCTGGTTCAAAAGCTCGCCTATTTTCAAAATGGTTGCCATTTTTGTCTCGCAGAATTTACTTTTGGCCCATTTCCTAGCTTTACAAAAAATCGGCAAAAAAATTTATCCATTTTTGAAATCCACTTTTTGACCGTTTGCCTAAAAACCTCTGTCGATAGGATTCCCGTTTTAAGTTACTTTTGTTCAACATCATTGTAGAAAACTCCTCTATGACTCCTGGTTCAAAAGCTCGCCTATTTTCAAAATGGTCACCATTTTTGTCTTACGAAACTCACTTGTGGCCAATTTCCTAGCTTTACAAATAATTTCAGGTGTCCTGCATTGTAAAAAGCCATGTCACTGTAAAGAGTAGTTATATGAAATAATTTTGTTACAAAAAATAGGCAAAAATTACATCCATTTTTTTTTATTTTCTGCCATTTTAGCAGAAAACTTTTGAATAACACCATGTTAGCCCAGTACCCATGGTACTATTTTTTATTTTTTGTGTAGAAAGTAGCACGATTGTCACCATCGCTTGTGACCAATAGAGCGATATCCTATTCGGAGCTGTATAACGAAGGTCAATGAAAGATATCATTCTATTGAGGATTTTTTGTAGAAAATCAAACTTAAACACATTTAACGCACTACATGCATGCATACTTTATTTTTTGATAAAATACAATAATTATAGGTATATCAAGTTACACCTTCGTATAGTTTTTTAATAACCAATGTTTCAAGTAATTCCTCTTTTTTAACTTACATTTCCAATCTTTTGATAATTTAATTTGTAATATTCACACCATTCCAAATCACCCCAACAAAGGATGAACCCAATATGATAGTGATCTTTTTTCCAAGATCAGCTGTCCACTAGGATTTAAGCACCAGACTTAATGGTTTGTTTGTGATATATTTCCCAAGTTAATGATTGCTTGCTTTGAACCAAGACCAAATGTAGATGTTTATAGCTAGAATACAATTAATGATTCACGTAAAGCACAAACAAAGCACCCATATTGTCATAGACTATCACACATTGCAAAACAGTTCCATAAAACGAAATAGAATTAATCATGGCCTCCTATTAGCTTCTTTCTAGTTGAAGACAGAAAGGTAATTGAGTATTAGAATTGTAATCTTGACATCTGGCCAATTTCCAGCCGTTTTCTAGATGAGTATTCCAAAGTGCCAAAACGTCATTAATTCGCCAGTATTGACAAAATACGTGTATGAATAGTAAGTTTTGATTTTACAATGACATTGAAGATGTTGTCTTTTTATCGAAGAAGTGCGCAATAGATGGTCTCTTTAAAATAAATAAATAGTTGTTCCACTCATTTTCGACACGCTCATGGTTGGCTTCGGGTATAAATTACAAAGATTTATTCTTTGTACTGCTGTGACTTTTTGCGACCCATGATTAGGAACTGAGGTCAATGTCATTGCTTATGGGTCAAGGTTATCTCAAGGTCAAAGTTTAATATATTTGGCGTTTTAAGGCACTCAAGGATACTGTGACCCTCGGCGATTCATAATTAGGTGGCCTGAGGTAAAAGTCAATGTTTGTGAGGCAAGGTCATCTCAAGGTCATATCTAGGTATTTGACGTTGTAAGGCTTTTGGAAAAATTCTAAATACAAGACGCGGTCAAGGTCAACGGATCAATATACAGGTATTAGCATTTTATAGGGGCTGCTGCCATGTTGAGGCTGTTGTGACCTTTGGTGACCAATTCGAACGGGAAAATTGCAAGTACATGTAACATGCAAATGTAAAATATAACAAGGAACAACAAATTGGAGTATTTTTTAATTATATTTGTTTTAAAATATGTGATTAGCTGGAATGTAATATATCATGTCCAGGTCTCTGTGTCAATTACAATCAAAATGAAAAAATAATGGATGTCTCTATTAACAAGCTGCTAAAGGCTAATAGCCTGAGTAAAGTCCATTTAAGGCAAGATACGGGTTTAAAACAATCATGTTTACATAATCTTTCATCAAAGCACTTAAAGACAGAATCAGATTTATAGTATTAGATGTAACAAAATTACAAGCAACATGCATAACTGACCTACCAATCCATTCCTTACAATCTCAAATACAACATCTCCCAAAAGAATCACAATATGTTATAAATTGGTAAAGTTATTAATGATTCAGAGTGCAAAAATGGGTGGAAAATGTTTAAATTCTCCCAAATAATAAGAATGGTAACCATTCTTATAGAAATATATTGTAAAAATCTTTAGGTTTCCTGGAATAAACTACATGTATGCACCTTGACATGACAAGGAATAACACGAGCCAAAAATATTCTAAAATAGAAATAATTTTTGTTTAGCATGCTTGCTATATCTGATTCTCTCTTTAATTTATACACCTAGTATCATAGTTATCATGGTAACAACGTAACCGAATGTAATTTGAAGAACGTAGTCTTATTTTCTCTTATTGTAATTTTTTATTGTTGGATGTACGTTTGGCCCTTTTCGATTTGATTAGGGCATCAGTACAAATAAATCCTATTCTATATGGTAAATATCTCATATCTTCGTTAAAATATAGATGTCAGTATGTTTCATGGCATCAATAATTCGATGAGGTGATTATATTATTGTTGTGTATACATGCGGTCCGTTAGTTTCACCGCCACGTTAAAATTTGCCTCGTTTTGACATTAATATGGTGGCTTGTAAGGTAAAAGGTAAGAACGGGCTAAAACTAGTCAGTTTGAGTGAATCTAACCATGCACATCGTATCAAATGTGTACCCGGGTAAAAACCGTTACATTGTGCGTCTATATGCGGTCATAGCCTTGCTTGACTTCAAGTGTAGCAGAAAATAATGAAGATGTAAACAAGACGTTGTGAAAGTAAATGCAACTCGGTGTTTGAATGTAAATTCTACATGTACTGACATCTATTTTTTGACTCAAACTTTTTTTTATTTCAATCGATTATGATCAATTTACTAAAGTGGACTGAACTTTATTTACAACTGTCATTTATTGATCATAAGCTTCTAAAGTGTCATATACGCTAGCCCACTACTTTAAAACCAAAATGGGCATTCCACAATGGACGGTAATATAGATAAAAAGCTCTGACTTTTATGAATATTAGTGGCTGATTTACCCCATGATTAAAGCTTTTATATACACATAAGAACGAGGGCTAGCATAGTATAAAGAAAAGTATACAAAAACCTATGGCCTCTTGCATTGATCTATATTCCAAACACGCAGGGATTGTATTTCACATACATTTTTAGCATCTTTGTAAGTTTCCCGACCATTACTTGTGGGATTGTGATAACAAGCATCACGGCACAGGCGCTGAGATATCTTCAACTCTGATTTGGTACATTTTTAGATAAGGAGTACCTAATACCTATTTACCTTGTTAATGACCTTCATTGTTATCATTGTAGGGCAACTATAGAGACACATGACTTGAGAGTACAATTGAAGTTACAAATATACTAAACAGGCCTTTGCATCATCATTTTTACTCTGAAGTAAATCATTTGTGCGTGGATAGCATTTGTGCCTACAATTCTTCATCATGAGTCTTAAGGTTGTTATCTTAGGAGCTGGTGGCCTAGTAGGGACGCGTTTATGTCTAAAGATCGTTCAGCTACAGGAGATGCATATTAACCCTACGGAGAGTCTACCATTGAAGAAAATCGTAATGTTCGATGCGATGGAGTTGAAAACAATCCCCGATAGCATCAAGGGTGACGCTAGAGTCTCAGTAATGATTGGTGACTTGTGCGACAAGACGATCATGGCTAAAGCGGTAGAGCCGGACGGTTGTACGAGAGTGACTGTAATACACCTCGCTGCTGTCCTCAGTGGTTACGCTGAAGAGAACTTCGACCTTGGTATGAAGGTGAACTTGCATGGCACGCTGAACGTTATGGAGTGCATGAGAGGTTTGGTTACGGAGCTGGGTCAACCTCAGATTTATGTCTACGTAAGCACAGATTACGTTTGCTGTTTCAACGACTATAATAAGAACAACCCAGTGAACGAAGAATCATTCCGTCTTTCACCCGTGTCATATGGTATCCAGAAGTCTTGTATAGAACTGTTGATGTGTGATTATACCCGGAAGGGGTTCTTAGATGGTCGAGTAGCTCGTCTTTCAGCCGTGATCGGACGTCCAGGATGGTCGAACTCAATCTCTTACCCATATACAGGTATTTTCACACAGCCACTCGAAGGGAAGGATTACGTGGTTCCTCTACCAATGGACATCCCCTTCCCATGTTCTAGTCTTAATAACAACATCGATTGCCTGTTGTTTACCGCTAGCAACCTAGATGGAACCAAACTTGGGCACAACCGTATTATTCAGCTTCCAGCAAAAAGTTGGACACTAAATGATATATGGGCAGCTACCAAAGAAGTTGCATCTGAGGAAGGTGTCCAACTTGGTAAGATTACCAACCAATCAAATGGAGGTGATACCACAATTAAGGAGATCAATGTGTGTCCATATGTAGACTGTGGAAAAGCCGAACGGCTTGGTTATCCCATGGAAGTCGATCTAAAGGACATTATAAGAGACTACATCAATGTATATATAAAGAAATAGAATCAGTCGAGGACCAGATGTAAAAAATATGATAACAATGTATGATATTAATTGAAAGTAATAAATTGTTATTCATATCATCAATAAAAAGCATTTGGAAAGCAATTGTATATCTTCAACTGAACGGCATTGGTCTTGTATTTCTTCAACCAAACGACATTGACCTTGTGTATCTTCAACATAACGACATCCGATCGGCATTGTATATTTTCAAACGAACGACATTGGCATTGCATAACGTCAACAGAACGACATTGGCCTTCAACCAAACGACATTGGCATTGTACAACTTCAACCGAACGACATTGGCATTGTATATCTTCAACCGAACGACATCGGCATTGTACAACTTCAACCGAACGACATTGGCATTGTATATCTTCTACGAACGACATCGGCATTGTACAACTTCAACCGAACGACAATGGAATTGTATATCTTCTACCGAACGACTTTGGCATTGTATAACTTCAGCTGAATGGCCCTGGCATTGTATAAGTCTTATCGAACGACATTGACCTTGACATTGTCTCACTTCAACTGAACGACATTGGCCTTGAAACACTGACCTTGTTCGACCTCAGTAAAACGTACGTTTAGCCTAGTTTTACATTGCAGTTCGACCAATACAAGTATTGGCAGCCATAGCCATTTATTATCAATTGGAAAACCTACAACGTAGTGCTCAAAAATAAAGTGAATTGAATATCCTTTGTCGTATGATTCGTCGTATGATTTATTCAGATGCACATCCATCTCCATGTACAAGGTGACAAAAAATGTTCACCTTTAAAGGAATACTAACTTTCTCAATTTTGATACAATCTTTCGTATATGATAGCATAGGGACTGACCTGAACCTAAATTGCCCAATTTATGAGGGGAACAGATTTTGGGCCCTAAATCAGTTTTTAGGTCCCTTTGCTTTTCCACAGAATGTTTTGTGCAACCTATTCGCCGAAAGATGTCAGTCAGATATTGTCATTGAATCCATGCACTTTGTACACCGATTTACCGATTCTTCAAAACTGCACACTAGGCATCGATCAAGCTTCATCAAGCCACGAAAGATCGTTAAGCTAAATAATTACATGTATTTTACAATGTCATCAAAATTGCTTTTTAATCCTACTTGTGGCAAATCATAAGAAATGTGCGCCCTTTAGTAATTAAATATTGCACCTTTCAGCTCATTAGCTGTAATTGTTTTAACACTAGCGGAGGTGACTCACATCGACAAAAAATGATGTGCCAAGTTCATCCGTCAGTTTCTGCTACGCTGATTTATGTCAGGGGGTAATGAGACAGAGTTTGTTGAGGCAGACTAGGGATCTACTCTCGGGGAACAGTGTTACTATATATTATTATTCATACGTGTCAGGTCATAAAAATGTTGATTACGTTTTCTAATTCTAATAAAGTAGTCTAATTCGATGAAAACTAAAAATACCGAAATCGACTTTTCCCACCCGCCACCTTTGATGCGAAGGTGACGGCCGTTACCTTCGATTGATACTGACCAATGAATCATATATAGCAACTTACGAAATGACTTATTTTTGTCTACAAAAACAAGAACTTATTATAGATTAGTTGGAGAACTTTGAAGCTCGTTTTACATGATTTATTACATACTTGGACAATTCGCCAGTGCGCAGCATTGAGTGTCCATGGTATAAACAATACGAGGCACTATGACAAATACATACATTATATAACAGGGGACCTACTCTCAGGGCTGATTATCATTTACTTTTACCGGACCAGTTACACTTTACATACCCTGCGTGCAGAGTCTAGTTAAACTACAAGACGAAGACGAAGCTCTCTTTTAAGAAGTGAAGTCAAACGAATGCAAAGGGTACACTTTACATGCATTAGGTCACTTTTTGAAAATCCCCGCAATGATCAATTGTCCTTCCGTTGAAATTATGTTCGTGGCAGATACAAATGTACTTATCTATTTAGATTATATTCACTATTGCATTACCTAGCATTACCAGGGTCCTTTCTAGACAATCATTGGTTCAAATGTAATATTGTAATATAATGAATAGTTCATGGCCAGAATAGTTCCAATATATTCCACAATAGTCCAATTAGCAAGGTAAGGTTATCACTATGAGATGAGCTAAAATACAATCTTCAATACACCACTGACCTTTCGGGAACAGGAACAGGAACTATATGGACATATACATTTTATATTGACCACCCATGGCCTAGGCATGACTTGAATAAAGCTACACGGAGAAAAGAGTCTTGTGATAGTAGATGAATTTGACCTTTAGAAACGTCTTGACCTATAAATCTTATCTCACCTTGACCTTGACCTACCATGGCTCCAAGGCTCAATCTGTGATACCATGGGCTTTCAATTCGATTACCATGGTGAAGAAGCCTTAAAATACAAATTCGTATTTTGGCCATTCGGGTGCTGGACCTAAAATTTAAACTTCAGAGCTTCAGCATTTATCTTATACGATGATGATGATGAGGTTTCAATGCGTCAAATTACCGAACGATTTATTGTCGCTGTGAATGCATCTACTGCTCCGCATATTTGTAGATGCATGTTGAACAGTGGCTCTGTGTACCAGGTAGTGTTGTCGCGATGTGCCATAATCGTACATCGATGCATCGGCAATTTTCAGTAGTAAACATCGATGAGAAAAAGTCCGAGAAAAGTGCACTGAAATACCGAACGCTAATGCACTAAAATACCGAACATCCGGTACATCTGGGAACTTCTACTTACGGTGAAATGAAAGTAAAGTATTTTTTTTAGATTAATGGTTCATTTCGACTGGCTAAAACAGTTTTAAAGCGAAAGAATATCAGAAAACATTGGAAAATGAAATAAGACATGAGAAAGGTAAGCGATTTGCGTCAAAATAAGATAAGAAAGGGTGATTTTTAGCAAATTTCTTTTTTTAAAAAACATCGATGTTTTGTTTCAGACACCGATGCATCACCAGAATCAGCTTTGGCGATGTATATCGCGATGTATCGATTAATCGCGACAACACTAGTACCAGGTCGTTCAATATGGCATTTGCTGTGTTCATGTACGACGTATGACAATCTCAAATAGTTTTCGGCCAGTCTAGTTTAGAAGTAGAGATAGGAATTGAGGAATTTTGAGGAATTAAGGGTTCAATTCCCGGATTATATGATTCAAGATGGTGATATAATAGTGAATTCGAAGACTTTTCATGCGGCAGTCTCATTCCAAGATATGCAACAGTGAATTACGTGTAATGTTATTCATTTATTATATTTAAGCTAATTCAAATCCCGATATTTTGTTTAACCATATTGACTTATTTCATGTTTGTTAAAAAGTAAAGGAGGCAATTTCTATATCAAATTAGCATATCTGGCCATTTAAGGAACATTTGAATTGGGAGGGTATTTTATTATTTGCTGATCCCCCCCCATTCTTGTCAATGGCACAAATGCTATGTATGTACTCAATCAAATATTTATCAAATGATATTCATTAAGCTTCTCGAAATTCCATCTGCCACGAATTAGGCCTACTAGTTGGAATATAGTATGCGTGCTACATGTTACGACGGATGAATGGATATTTTTATATTCAGTGAAATGAATTAATCCAAAGTATTTCATAATTTCAAGTTCATTTCGGTAGAACTCTTCAAACTGTTTATAACATATCCATTTCGATAACAAAATGTCGCAGCCTCGAGGGTACTTTTAAAACGCCCCTGTTTTTTCTATTTTACCCTAGTTTCTCTATATATACATTATACAAGAGATCTACCAGTTCTTTAAAGGAAGGATATTGTTTTCTTTATTGTATAGTTTATATTGGAAAGTAACACAGGATATGTTGTTTTCAACTTTTCGCATTTCAATGCCCTTCATTCCCCTTTAATGACAAAGTGTCACTGACGGTGCAGAAAATTTTTTCATATGTTAAAGTTGTAGCCAGGACAAGTTCCATTGGCGATTTGTATAGGGTTTGTACATGCTCTCACTCGGGACTTGATCCCACCCCCGCATAATAATATACCGAACACGGCGAATATTCACTGAAGTCCCCCCAGCCCCCAGGTGTTGAAATTACGTAATCCAATCTACATTTAATTTAGGGACCTTAGTATAGACACCCGATGCATTCTCACATGAATTTACAGGACCCCAACTTACAATACCATACTGATACCACTTTACCCTCTTTATTAAAGATACCACTTTACCCCCTTTATTAAAGGCCTGACAGAATCTCCAAAACAGGAATCCAGTCTGTTTGAAGTATGTTTTCAGACGATCTGATAACAGAACGCCCATGTCGCCATCCAATTCAAAATTCACAATCACCTTCAGCGTCCGGGCAAGTCCATGAAGTTCTTAAATAGACCATAGAACGTTGTAGCTACTTTCATCCAGTTCGCATACAGTTTAAAATCAGTTCGGCCCGTTTAAAAGAACACAGTGACAACTTGTTTGGAGTGATATGCTATTTTTGTTAATTCATTCATAAGCTTCAAACTGTGTACTCACTACTGCAATTTACGCTTGACTGCACAACGTCGTAATACGTCCCTAGTAGGATTGGAATACGACAGTTCATCAGTTCGTAATGTGTCCCCAGTGCGTCCAGGCCGTCTTAAGTACGTTGTCACTCGTTCTGACAGCAGAACGTGACGTCACCAGAAAATTTTGAGCATGCTCTAAGTTCTGGATGACCTATTCGTTCGGGTAGTTTGATAAAGTTTGTAAACAGACCCCAAACGGTTATTAGTACGTCAAACTAGTACTAGTTTGGTGTGATAGTAGGGTTAGTGTGGTTTAAAAAGGAATCACGGTTCATTGGTCGACACACATGAGTATGTTCTGGTTTACATGTAGATCCAATTTATAAATTTATGTCATCATCTTGTATATGGCTTTTTATTCGTTCTAAACGTATAACAACTGTGAAATAATTCACTCGTCCGTGTGATGGATCACGTTAAAGGGTCTTGTGTGTATCTAACACAATGCCATTAGAGCTAGGTATTGAGTTGATAATGTATAGATTACAACGATGCTACAGATATAGCATTCACAGTCACTGATTGATAAATGAGGTTTACAATTCAGAAGGTATTCATATCAACTGGGTACAATTCAGGAAAATCAATTTCAAATTGATTTT